GGATGGCATCACTGACTCGATGGACATGAATTTGGGTAAACTCCGGGAGTTGGTGATGGACAGGGAGGCCTAGTGTGCTGCAGTTCATGGGGTCACAAAGAGTCGGACACGACTGAGCGGCTGAACTGAGCCGAACTGATTATTACTCAGAAACTGATGAAAGGTAAGCCTCAGGATCCCTAAGTTGCACAGTCCCTTAACAATGATGATGTTGGGCTTCCTTAGTGGCTCAGTAGTAAAGAATCTGCCTGCCAGTGCAGGAGACACGGGTTCGATCCCTGGTCCAGGAAAATCCCACAGGCCACAGGGCAACTACGCCGGTTCGCCACTACTGCTGAGCCTGCTCTCTGGAGCCCAGGTTCTGCAGCAAGAGAGCCACCGCAGTGAGAAGCCCTCGCACCAAACTAGAGAAAAGCCTGAGTAGCAGTGAAGACCCAGAGGAGCAGAAAATAAATTAAATTACAAAAAAAAAAAGTCTGAGAAAAAACAATTATTCTAAAATTAGGTTGCTTGTCAGTCTGTCAAAATGTGTCATTTGTTGTGATTTATCATTCTAAATAACTGTTCAAGGGCACTCAAAGCCAGTGCACTGGGACACCCTGAGGGATGGGATGGGGAGGGAGGTGGGAGGGGGTTCAGGATGGGGGACACATGTACACCCATGGCTGATTCATGTCAGTGTATGGCAAAACCCACCACAATACTGTAAAGTAATTAGCCTCCAATTAAAATAAATAGATTAATTTTAAAAAAGAAATAAATAATTGTTCATTTTAGCACAGAATTTTGTCAAGAAGGTTTTGCCAATTCTGTTAACTTGACTCCCCTCTCAAAAATTTAGATCCACTCCTGCCTATGAGGTAGGAACCATTAACACTGCTATCTTGTAGATGATGAAAGAGATCCAGAGATGTTAAGTTACTTGCCCAAGTACACACAGCCAGTAAGCAATGGGATCCAGATTTGAACCCAGGCAGCCTGGTTCCACTTGGAATGCTGTTAACTATATACTTTATCACTTCTTATCATTTTTACATGGAGCTCCTAGAAAACTCTCCGTGACACTCAATACCTGATAGCTACTATTACACTGTAAATTAAAAACTGTTTTTGCAATGATGGGAATGCAGCGCCATCCTTATTTAAAGAAAGCGTATCAATTTGAAAGCAGACTGATTTTATACAAGACATTTGCTTTTTTAAAAAAATAATTGCAGTTTATTTTATTTTTAAAAATTATTTATTTATGGTTGCGCTGGGTCTTCATTGCTGCACAAGCTTTTTTCTCTAGTTTCAGCAAGCAGGGGCTACTCTAGTTGCAGTATGCAGGCTTCCCATTGTATTGGCTTCTCTCGTGGTACAGCATGGCCCCGGGGAGTGCGGGCTTCACTAGTTTCAGCACATGGGCTCAGTAGCTGTAACTTTCGGGCTCTAGAGCACAGACTCAATAGTTGTGGCCCAAAGCATGTGGGATCTTCCCAGACCAGGGGTGGAACCCTCATCTCCTGCATTGGCAGGTGGGTGCTTTACCACTGAGTCACCAGGGAAGACCAAGACTTGCTTTTTAATATTAATTTCCTGAAAGATGCTTTCAAAGCTGTATCAGTCTCAGTGTGGTCCATGCATTGCCCGCATCAGGACCATCGGGGTCCCATCCAAACCTAGTGGATGGAAATTGATGGGAGTAAGGCTCAGGAATCCGAATTCTTAAAGAGCCCCTGAGTATCTTTCTGCAAGATGAAGTTTGAAAACCACTGCAGATAGTAGGTTTATTACACTATGGGTAATACTCTTTATAGATGAGCTGTGGGGGAAGAAAGGTCTTTAATCTAGCATATATTAGTAATATTTTCAATCAAAGATAAGTAATAGGAATTATAAAGCAAGCTAACAGACAAATTCGGGTACATTAAAATTCACAAATTCACTGACATCTAAAAATTGTTTGTGCTCAGTTGCTCAGTCATGTCTGACTCTTTGAGATCCCATGGGCTGTAGCTCAACAGGCTCCTCTGTCCATGGGATTCTCCAGGCAGGAATACTGGAGTGGGTTGCCATTCCTACTATTTCCTACTCCAGGGGACCTTCCCAACTCAGGGATCGAACCCAAGTCTGCATCTCCTACTTTGGCAGGCAGATTCTTTACCATCTAGCCACTTGGGAAGCTCTGAAAGCTGTTCACCAAATACCACATGTGGAATTAAAATATGACAAATGAACCTGTTATGAAACACCAACAGAGTCAGGGACATAGAGAATAGACTGATGGTTGCCAAGGGGGAGGGGGGTGGGAGAGGGTTGGATTGGGAGTTTGGGGTTAGCAGATGCCAACTATTAGCTATAGAATGGATACACAGTGAGGTCTTACTGTACCGCACAGGGAACTATATTCAATATCCTATGACAAATCATAATGGAAAAGAATACAGAAGAAGAATACGGGACTTCTTTGGCAGTCCAGAGGTTAAGACTGTGTTGCCAGTGCAGGGGGTCTGGGCTCGAGGTGTGGCCAAAAGATTTTTAAAAAAAAGTAAAACAAAACAAAAATAAGTCACAGTACAGTGACCCAAATCAAATTATATAATAAAAAAGAATGTACGTATATATAACTGAATCACTTTGCTATACCGCAGAAACTAATACAACCGTAATTCAACTACAATATGATAAAAACAAATTTTAAAAAAATGGTTCACATATAATTTTGAAGGCCATAATTATTGAGACCACAGCATTAACTGCATTGCCAGGCACTGTTCAAATTATATTAATTAATCTTCAGAATCCTTTAATTAAGTAATCTAGTCACCCCCATCCTCAAGATGGGTAAATAGAGGCTCGTAGCTGTCAATTAGGGCTCCCCAGGTGGCGCTAGTGATAAAGAAACTGCCTGACAATGCAGGAGACGCGGGGTCGATCCCTGGGTCAGAGGGCATGGCAACTCACTCCACTATTCAAACCTGGAGAATCCCATCGACTGAGAAGCCTGGTGGCCTACGGTCCATAGGGTCGCAGAGCTGGACATGACTGAAGTGACTTAGCACACACACAGATGTGAACTAACTCTCCAGTAAGTGCAGAGACAGGATTTAAACCCAGAAGTCTGGTTCTGGAGGCTGTGCTCTCAAGTCCTGCATCTTATATACACAATTTCTTTTTTTAAGAGGGTGGGGATAAAAAGGTAAACTCACAAATTTTCACAAAACTTTATATTCAGAGTTTTTTTTTCTGATTTAGTCATTTTCCAGAAGAATAAATGGTGCATTGGGCTCACGACAGCATGAAATCACTAACATGGGCCAAACCCGTGTTCTTATAAGCAGGGAAGTTCAGTGTTAAGCCTACTTGGACTTGCAGTTGTCAGAGCTTTAATCCCTCCTCTTAGCTCATAAACAGAATCTTTGTTTCAGTGCTTCCCACATCTTCTCCCTCCACCCCCTAAAAAGTTTTCGGATCTTTACCCTAAATTCCTTCCCTCAGCACTTCAGCTGCCCAAGCCTAAGAGCAGGCTCCAACATCAAGTGCTGACCATTCCCAGCACTTTTAGATGTATTACCTACCCAACCCTCATCACTCTGTTCTTTCCGTCTTTGTACAAAATTGGAGATTGAAGCACTCAGGACTGTGCTCAGCATCACAGAGCTGAAAAATGCCTGAATCAGGAATTGAGCCCCGATAGTGGGCATCAAGCCCCTGTCCTTAACCAAAACATTTACTATTTCATATACCACAGTATACGAGGCCCTTTAAACAACTAGCAGCTGGATCCTCACAAGTATGCTCAAGAGGAGGCGTGTGCTCCGCTGTAAGGGACAGGGACGGAAGGCACAGAGAGGCAGAGAGGAGCCTGTCCGGGCCACACAGCTATAAAGGGCAAAGGAGAGACCAGCCTTGCTCTCTGGATGCCAAGCTTGCACATTCCTCCTCCACCACACAGCCTCCTGGAATTTTTATGGGTTATTCCCCATGGCAGTCCTACAAGAGAAGAATCGTTCCATTTTGTAGATAAGCACATCCTTAAGGCAGAGTTGACATGAAAGTAACCATGGGATGTTTAGGCAGATTCTGTTTTCCAGATCTGCCTTCAAACCAAGGCGCTGGGAAAGGGGTCAGAAAGTATACCTGCTTATTTCTTCCTCTCCTCCTGCAAAAGCATGCTTTCAGCTAAACAATTTAAATACATGTGTGCAAACAGCACCAGGAGATGCAGAAATGCACCGTCTACGTTAATCAGGACAGAGCCCTTTCTCCCTATGAGGTCTATGCATTGATAACTGTGGGAACCTGTTTTATATTCTTTCAAGAGCCTTCCTATCCATCAGACATTGTATTTAGAGTTCATATTTGCAGGTTTCATTCACTTGTGAGGTTAAACCATTTCAAAAATCCTGGCAGATACACAGAGTATTAACCAGGGGAACTGAGACCCTTTGGTTCTTCGTCTGCCGCCCATCATTTGGCCACCTTTAAGCTGCTAAAGCATTAAGAGAATAAAATTATGTTCTCCCGGTTTTCAGGTGAGAAAAGCGGGAGGCTTCCACGAGTTTAGAACATTTCCTAGACGTGCTCTCTCTCTGGAACAACTGGAAACCAACAGCAACCTGCCAACACCCTACCCCACAGGCGCATCTGAAAGAACCTTGCAGTTAACTTAGGATTCTGGCTCAGAAATGAACAAAACCAGCAGAAACCCGCTCAGGTAACAGGAGCCAAGAGGTTTGGTTCCGCAGGACTCTGAAGTGCAGACACAATTCTGCAAGAAACTTCGTCAGCCAGACTCTCTCATGAGGGAACAGTAGATGGGGAAGCTCCCAAGCAGAAGGCTGGGGACGGAGAGGAGAAGGGGGGACGATATGCCAGGACATGGGGGTGATCCCACCCTCCCTCCCGTCCCTCGCGTCCAGTAGCCTGTCCGGCAGCCACGCGCCCGAAGGCGGCGGTGGGAAGAGACTGCAGCCGGCGCCCGGGGCCCGCCTGGGGCCCCCTAGAACTCCACTTACTTGATCCGATGTGTCCTCCCAGCTCCTCGCCTCTTCCAGCAACCCGGCGCAGAGCGGCAGCGCAAAGCAGAGCCCGAGCAGCGGGAGCATGGTGAGGCCGGGGGGCTGCACCAGGACGCCGCGGGATGCGTGGATACAGCGCGGGACTCAGGGCTGCGCTCCGCGGTGCAGACGCGCGCGGCCGCGCCTCGCGCTCCGCCCCGCCCCCTGAGACCGCAGGCCCCGCCCCTGAGCCCTCAGGCCACGCCCACGCCCATTCGGGTCCCGCCCCCCGCTCCTTCCGACCCCGCCCCCGCCCCTCCCCCTGAGCGTTACGACCCCGCCCCCGCGTCCCGCCCCGCCCCCTGAACTCTCCGGCCGCCCCTGAGCCCCTCCTGTCTCGCCCCCACGCCTATTCGGCCCCGCCCCCGCACCCCTCGGACCCTGCGCCCGGCTGGCCCCTGCGCCCCTCCGGCCCTGCCCCCCGCGCCCGGCCGCGGCTCCTCACCCCTCGCAGGTTCAGACTCCTCACTCCCGCGAGGCCCGCCCCCGGTCCGCTGCATCCACGCCGGGTGCCCCCAGCCCAGAGCGCACGGTTCGCCTCCCATCGCTCGTCGCCTTCCCGCCAGTACCTTCAGCATCCCCGCTCCTGCCCCGCCCCTCCCTCGCCTTTTCCAACCAGCGCTGGGAGCACCTGCCACCACCTGCAAGGCCCTCTCCCGCTCCTTCGTGAACTCGCGCCATTCCTGTCGCAGGAGGACACGGTGAGGACCAGCCTGACCCTCGGCCCCTTCACCTGCTATACAGACCCGGCTCCCCCGCCGCATGTATACCGCCCGCCTACTTCCAATATACAGCATCTACCACCTGCTGTGTGCACCACCTCCACCATTCCCACACCTGCCACCTGAAGGCATCAAGAAACCTTCTTCTGGGAAAATGGTGCCTTCCCCTTGACATCCAGCACTGATGCTTACAAGCCCGGTTGAGGGAATGCTAAGTGGTCTAACGCAGAAAGTACCTGCAATGTGGTCCCCTTTTATATGGCTCTGGAATAGAGGAACAGAAAGGAGGAAGCTAGAGTTGGCACCACGTCGTAGTACTTCTGATTTTTTTGGTTATTAATCATAAAAACGAATGTCACTGTCATCATAGTTACAGACTATTGGTCCGGTTTCTGTCCTGTCATAGGAAGAATTATTATGTGCCAACCATTCACCCACCCGCCTTTTAGAGTCTGGGCTCCATCTTTGTACCTGGCAGATGCACAGTGATCTGGAGCTGCTTGTTTCCAAAAGGCAATCACCTCAAAGACACTTAAACTTTTTTTCTTTGTCGTGATACTGCTGCTGCTAAGTCACTTTAGTAATGTCCGACTCTATGCGACCCCATAGACGGCAGCCCACCAGGCCCCGCGGTCCCTGGGATTCTCCAGGCAAGAACACTAGAGTGGGTTACCATTTCCTTCTCCAATGCATGAAAGTGCAAAGTGAAAGTGAAGTCGCTCAGTCGTGTCTTACTCTTCGAGACCCCATGGACTGCAGCCCATCAGGCTCTCCTGTCCATGGGATTTTCCAGACAAGAGTACTGGAGTGGGTTGCCATTGCCTTCTCCTTGTTGTGATAAAAATCACATAAAATAAAAAGTACTATTTTAAACCTATTTACCTGTACAGTTTGGTGGTACTAAGTACGTTCACATTATCATGCAACTTTTACCATCATGCATCTCCTGAATTTTTCACACCTTAAGATATTTTTTAATGTCTCTGTAAAAATTCCTTCTAAATCAATACACTGAGTAATAAGTTGGCATCCATCTCAGTGGCCAAAAACAGGGAAGTGGTTAACTCAAAAGACAGAACATCCATCCTGTGGAATATTACACAGCTATTAAATAGCAATCATAAAGTGCATGGAAACAGGAAAAATGTTTACAGCATAATTTAAAGGAAAAATCAGATCACATAACCATATCAAAAGTATGAGTTTAATTAGGTAAAAATACATGAGTGGACATCAGAACTAGGGAAGAATGAAAACAGTGGGTGTGTTAGCTTATGGCAATATCTCTTTTTAAAATATTTTGTTTTCTCTTGTTGAAATGTTGATTGTTAAACAAAGACATTAGGGGTGGGGGGGGGGAGTGTTGTTTTGGTGAAATAAATGGAAAGAAAATCATTTGTCATTAGCGATTAAACATGTAATAGCCTATCCACGGGCTAATTAAAAAAACACGCCTCCACCATGGAGTGACAGAAGCTGGTCCAACAAGGTTTCCACAACAAAAGCACCAGTAAAGGAGAGCTTTGAAGTAAGTCAGAGGGTTTTTATTCTTAGTTCTTTCCCTAACCATGAATTACACATGCATCCTGGGCACACTTAGAAACTTAGCAGCGTGCGAAGTTTGTTCAGTCCCCTCTTCATTTTAAAACTAAGGGGGAGAAAAATAATAGAAGAAAATATAGTGATACTAAGGAGGAGAGCCCCAAACTTTGGAATTTTGCCCCCACCACCTCCTTGCCTCCAAAAGGAAATGCCTGCTTAAAAATGGAAAGTTGAATTTGGACAAAACTGGGTTATTTGAAAAGTAAACAATAACAGCTACTGTTATTTCAATCTATCAATCCTCCAACAACACTGGGGACCTTGTCTTGGTCTTTCTCTTCTCCCCTCGCCTACTCAACTCTTGTTGTTGTTGTCTGACCTTATATCTGTCCTTTGTCCCATTGTGTCCCAGCTGGTCTCTGTGAGGTCAAGTCATCAAGAGAAATGAGTTTTATTTTCTCCATCTGCTTAGTTCAGTTCAGTTTAGTCACTCAGTCATGTCCAACTCTTTACAACCCCATGAATCGCAGCACACTAGGCCTCCTGGTCCATCACTAACTCAAACTCATGTCCATCAAGTTGGTGATGCCATCCAGCTATCTCATCCACTATCGTCCCCTTCTCCTCCTGCCCCCAATCTTTCCCAGCATCAAGGTCTTTTCAAATGAGTCAACTCTTCGCATGAGGTGGCCAAAGTATTGGAGTTTCAGCTTCAGCATCAGTCCTTCCAAGGAACACCCAGGACTGATCTCCTTTAGGATGAATTGCTTGGATCTGCTTGCAGTCCAAGGGACTCTCAAGAGTCTTCTCCAACACCACAGTTCAAAAGCATCAATTTTTCGGTGCTCAGCTTTCTTCACAGTCCAACTCTCACGTCCATACATGACCACTGGAAAAACCATAGCCTTGACTAGACAGACCTTTGTTGACAAAACAATGTCTTTGCTTTTTAATATGCTTTCTAGGTTGGTCATAACTTTCCTTCCAAGGAGTAAGCGTCTTTTAATTTCATGGCTGCAATTACCATCTGCAGTGATTTTGGAGCCCCCAAAAATAAAGTCTGACACTGTTTCCCCATCTATTTTCCATGAAGTGGTGGGATCAGATGCCATGATCTTAGTTTTCTGAATGTTGAGCTTTAAGCCAACTTTTTCACTCTCCTCTTTCACTTTCACCAAGAGGCTTTTTAGTTCCTCTTCACTTTCTGCCATAAGGGTGGTATCATCTGCATAGCTGAGGTAATTGATATTTCTCCCGGCAATCATGATTCCAGTTTGTGCTTCTTCTAGCCCAGCCTTTCTCATGATGTACTCTGCATATAAGTTAAATAAGCAGGATGACAATATACAGCCTTGACTTACTCCTTTTCCTATTTGGAACCAGTCTGTTGTTCCATGTCCAGTTCTAACTGTTGCTTCATGACCTGCATATAGGTTTCTCAGGAGGCAGGTCAGGTGGTCTGGTATTCCCATCTCTTTCAGAATTTTTCACAGTTTATTGTGATCCACACAGTTTATTGTGATCCACACAGTCAAAGGCTTTGACATAGTCAATAAAGCAGAAATAGATGTTTTTCTGGAACTCTCTTGCTTTTTCGATGATCCAGTGGATGTTGGCAATTTGATCTCTGATTCCTCTGCCTTTTCTAAAACCAGCTTGAGCATCTGGAATTTAACAGTTCACGTATTGCTGAAGCCTGGCTTGGAGAATTTTGAGCATTACTTTACTAGCATGTGAGATGAGTGCAATTGTGTGGTAGTTTGAACATTCTTTGGCATTGCCTTTCTTTGGGATTGGAATGAAAACTGACCTTTTCCAGTCCTGTGGCCACTGCTGAGTTTTCCAAATTTGCTGGCATATTGAGTGCAGCACTTTCACAGCATCATCTTTCAGGATTTGAAATAGCTCAACTGGAATTCCATCACCTCCACTGGCTTTGTTCATAGTGATGCTTTCTAAGGCCCACTTGACTTCACATTCCAGGATGTCTGGCTCTAGGTGAGTGATCACACCATCGTGATTATCTGGGTCATGAAGATTTTTTGCACAGTTCTGTGTATTCTTGCCACCTCTTCTTAATATCTTCTGCTTCTGTTAGGTCCATACCATTTCTGTCCTTTATTGAGCCCATCTTTGCATGAAATGTTCCCTTGGTATCTCTAATTTTCTTGAAGAGCTTTCTAGTCTTTCCCATTCTGTTGTTTTCCTCTATGTCTTTGCATTGATCTCTGAGAAAGGCTTTCTTTCTTTTTTTTTTTTTTTTCATTTATTAGTTGGAGGCTAATTACTTTACAATATTGTAGTGGTTTTTGCCATACGAGGAAGGCTTTCTTATCTCTCCTTGCTATTCTTTGGAACTCTGCATTCAGATGGGAATATCTTTCCTTTTCTTCTTTGCTTTTTGCTTCTCTTCTTTTCACAGCTATTTGTAAGGCCACCTCAGACAACCATTTTGCTTTTTTGCATTTCTTTTCCATGGGGATGGTCTTGCTCCCTGTCTCCTATACAATGTCATGAACCTCCGTTCATAGTTCATCAGGCTCTCTGTCTATCAGATCTAGTCCCTTAAATCTATTTCTCACTTCCACTGTATAGTCATAAGGGATTTGATTTAGGTCATACCTGAATGGTCTAGTGGTTTTCCCTACTTTCTTCAATTTAAGTCTGAATTTGGCAGTAAGGAGTTCATGATCTGAGCCACAGTCAGCTCCCAGTCTTGTTTTTGCTGACTGTATAGAGCTTCTCCATCTTTGCTGCAAAGAATATAATCACTCCAATTTCAGT